GGCCTGGCTGCAGAGAAGCCCTGAACGGGGGCTTATCCTCTGGCCGTCAACCACCTCTTTGCTGGTTATGCCTAGCAGGGTTCAGTAAGCACAATACAACCAATCTGAACCTTACCCTATGAATCAGGATATTCCTGTTGATCCAGCTTGGCAGGCACATGAATATCAGCTTCTTCCTCCCTTTACCTCTATGCCTTGTGTCTCTTCTTGTTTTGAGTACACACACAGGCGCATGCTGCAACTCTCTCTTAGTACCTATCACACAAGGCTTGCCTAGTCTGAGTCAGCTGTGGACACGCCGGCATGAGCTGACACTAGAATTCCACAGTCTCTTGGAGGAGGGAGAGAGGCTGGGAAGGAGAGAGGCTGATGGAAGCTTTGTCTTTCTCGTTTTATCCCGGCCCGGGGACCATGAAGTCCCTGAAGCCCTGATGCTTCCAGCTCTCTGTGTTGCTGACAAGCAGCCTTTCTTGATTGGCAGCACTCAAACCACTTTGAAAACAGCCCATATTCCTCTCGTTTCATACTTGCAAATCTTCCTCATTCCTGTCCATCTGGCTTGCCCACCTCTCATGTTCCCTATCTTGCCAAGTTCTCAAGTTCCCAAGAAGGGACGAGCATCAGAAGCCATGCTACAGAGGAGATCCAGGTTTGTTTGTTTGTTTTTTTGTTTTGTTTTTTTTGTTTTGTTTTTTTGTTTTTGTTTTGTTCTTTAGATAGACTGTGCATCCCTTTCTGTCCTGTAACCTCTCTATAGACCAGGCTGGCCTTGGACTCACAGAGATCTGCTTGCCTCTATCTCCCAAAGAGTGGGTATTAAAGGTGTATGCCTCCATAGTCTGGCCACAAAAGGTGTTGAGACACGTTTAGCTCCTGACACCCAGCTGTAGATAAAGTCAGCTGCTTTTCCAAACTACAGATGGAATTGTCTTTTAAACATGGCTAGCTTTCTTTAGGTATGTGCTCGTGCCTACCTGGGTCACCAGGCCCCCATCAGCTCTTCTGCCCTCTCTACCCTGGCCTCCAGGGCTATTTTGAGTGTGTACCAGTTGGGGTTAATCTCCTTAATCGGTGATCCGTGCTGCCTCCTGTGCTCCCAACTAACCCAGCCATCTGCAAAGGGCACTCTGAGGGTTGGTGCTGAGGCCTCAGGGACTCCCATTCATGAAGGGAGCCTGAGGGGCCTGGAGCTGAATGAAGACCTGGAGGAAGAGACTGTGGAGACTAACTGGCAGCGGGAGTCTGGGGACAGCAGTGGACTGCTCAGAGTCTCAAGTTAACCTCTAGGGAAAACCTAAAAGAGCTTCCTCCACCCCCTAGCCCAGCTACCCTGGCTCCTGACCCTGGTTTTGTGCAGGTGCTAATCCTGGGTCCCTATTACCCTCGGGAGAAGGACAAGGGAGGCAGGCTGAGGGGTCATCCCCCACCACTTGGGAAGGGAAGAGAATAAGAGTTGACCTGTGGTGATCAGGTCCCTGAAACATGAGACAAGGACCGCTTCAGTCCACAGCTGGCTCATGCACTGGTGAGGGCTCTGTCTTCCACCTGGGCTAAGGGAGAACTCCCAGAGGACCAGAGAGGAGCCTGACTGCCAGATCCACCCCATTTACAGGCAGGAATGAAGCCTGCCTCCAGCCTTCCCTGGATCTCCTGCTAACTAAAATTCATTTCATAAGCAGCTAGGGATCCTCTGTATAGAAGTCTTATGTAAGTATTTGCCTGCTGAATAATATATGCTGGTCAGGGAAACAGCCAGGAAGGCAGGATGCAAAAAGAAAAAAAAAGAAAAGAAAAAAAGAAAAAGAAAAAAGAAAAGAGGGGTGGGGTATGTGGCTCCACAGTAGGGCAGATGTTTGCTGAGCTCAAGGCCCTGGGTTCAGTCTCCATCATCATGAGAAAACCTATGGGTCAGCAAGAGGGAAACTGCTCGCTGTGCAAACCTGCCAACATGAGTTACATCTTTGGAACCAGCAGTGGACATAGAGAGCTGACTCCTGAAAACTGTCCCGTGACTTCCACATGCATGCCACGACCCACGCGCTTTTCCTTCCTTAATGATATATGCCCTGAAGGATAGAGTGTTATGATATGGGAATGTTCAATCAAGGTGCCCAGAGAATCTGGGATGACTACCTGGAGGTGGTGACCTGGAAGAGCTATGGGAGGAATATTCATGAAAACTATGCTAAACAATCCAAAGGATCCCTGCAATATTCCAGCTCAGTGAGGGTGAGGGAGCCCCAATCCCTTTCATGGTCCCCACCCTAGCACTCCAGGCACAGGGTAAGTTTTCCTCCCAGGAGAAGTTGAATGGGCCTGCTTACCTCTCTCCATTCCTATTCAACTCTTTCTTAGTATGGTTAGTTTCAAACAAAAGAAGAGCTCACTGTAACAAGCATGAGGGCCCACACTCCCATCTCTGTCAGTCCGCACTCCCATCCCTGTCGTTTTAAAGCAAATCCTCCAATTCAATCAATTATCCCAAGAATATTTATTACTTATGTCTAAAACATAAACATTCTTTCAAAAGAGTGTTCATAATGCCATCATCCCATCTCCAGGAATCAGCTGAAGTTCCTTGAAACCGCCGCATATCTTTCCCTAGCCGACAGTGGGTTTAGTGGTTATTGGTATTCCTCAGACAGTGGGGAGATCAGCCAGACTGTCACAGCCACTGTTCCTGACAACACACAAGCACACTGGTCTCTCTGGGGCTCTCGCATGTAGCTGCTGTATGACCCTAATGGAACTCAGTTGGCACAGAGCTGGCCTAGTATGCACCAAGACCCTGCCGTGTTCAACTGTATAAGCGGGGCACAGTGGCTCACATCGGCAATCCCATTGCTTCAGAGGTAGAAGCAGGACTCTCGGGAGTTCAAAGCCATCCTCACTAGCTGTCCAGCTTGACTCAAGCCTGAGCTTCATGAGAACTTGTCTAAAACATAAAGAAGCAAGGGCTGACATTGCCTCCCTTACTTTACTCTGATATCCTATGTGACAGGAGGAAGGGAGGAAGTACGGACTTCAAAATCGGGCAGCTCACCTCTTAGCTGTGTTGCTCTGGGACAGATATTTAGCCTCTTTGAGACTTTTTTTTTTTTTAATGATAGGGATAAAAATACTTATCTCTTCAGACTGCTAAGGCTTATGAAAGAGAAGGTTCTTGTGGTGGGCATGTAGAAGGTTCTCTGTAGCCCACCGTGCCCCCACAGGCCGGGCTAATTGGCTGGCTCGCTATCAAATCGATTGGATTACTACATGCAGGTCTTCATGAACAGTGAAGGCCCAGTTATCGAGAGCTGGAGCTAGCTCCCCAGCCTGGAGCTGACTCTCCCTGAGCACCCATGCTTTGCTCTTTACTTTGGCCACTAATGAAAGGGACAAGTGCCCAGACTGAGGGGCGAGCAGGGGTGGACAAGGGCAGAGATTCACTTTGGGCTAATTTTACCAATTTTTGAATCCCTTTACTAAGAGGAATAGTGATTCCGCTGCTGATGCCTACTGAGTGCTTGTGTGCCCACTCTCCATCACCCTCTTAGTTGCCTCAACAGCCCCTGAGGCAGGTATTATTATCCTCAAGATCTAGGTAGCTTGGGAGTGGCTTAGTCACACAGGGCAGTAAGAGTTGCTGGTGCTCATGTAGGGTTTTCTGGTACCTAAGCACTAGGCCTGAATGTCACCACCATTCTTCTGATAACAATGCTAAAGAGACTTTATGTTAGGGTTCACTGGCATTCCCCTGGGTTCACAGAGACTTCTGCCCACTACTCAGTACACATTCCAAAGTCCAGCTGGCCACTGCGCTAACGCATGCCCTTTACCTGCACGAGGAGCATGGAGTGGTCTGTAACAGACTATCTCCAAAAGGCAAGAATGATCCTAAAGCACCTCTAACCGAAGAGCCTACTCCCCCTCCTCTATTGTTGACTTGGTTCCATCTGGAGAAATAAGTACATCTCTGGGCAAAGCTAGGACACTGAGGGAGAGAGAAGAGAGTCTGGACACAGTATTTACTAAGAGCAGAAACATTGGAGAATGAAAGCCATGGGAACACAAGAGTCCCTCCATGCTCTTTGACCTAAACATCTTGCTTTTATAATTAAATAAGGGCTTGAGTTTTAGAACTGTGAGAGGCCCTGGGTTTGGTTCCCAGGGCTGAAAACAGTTCTGTTTGACCTCAGCCTCCAGAAGCCACAGACACAAGTCAGCCATTGGGCCCTGAGCTGGAGGGGAGGAGATGGGGGGGATGGAAGAGAAGAGAAGAGCAAAGCCAAACCCCAGAGTAAATGCTTAGGGTTGGGAGGGGGGGAGCTATCACAAAAGCATCAAGGACTTGACTGAGTTTTTCTCTGTTTCCTGTCCTGATTCACCAGCCCCTCAAAGGACAGGTTCCAATACCTGTATTAATATTTATCCATCATTATCAAAGCTGTGAAAGAAATAACCACCCTGCTCATGGAGTAAGAATGCCTGAGCCCCTTGGTAAAGTTATGACCATGGCCCCAGGGATGGATGGCAGGCACAGACAGAGACAGTGTCCCTCTCTTCTACTATGTCTCTCTACATTCCTGTCTCTGCTCTTAGGAGTTGGGCCATTGCGATCGATCAGCTTGGCTTTCTTTTCTTGAGTGCTTAGAGACACAAACATCTAGTGTCTCTCCCTCCTCCCCAGCACAGGATCGAGGTAAAGGAAGAAGAATGCTGAGACCAGGATGGCATCAGCTCAACAATAAATTCTTCAAGGACACCTCTCAACCTCAGCTCCCTTTTCCTATTCGAATTTTGAGGTACCGTGTCTCTCCAACATGTCCAACTTCTGCTTACAATGCAAACTAAGGGCAGAGGTTCACACTGTCAGTTTAACACATAATAACCTATTCTGAAGCATCTGGTCCCCTGCCAATAAGAATGATTCTTCTAAAAAAGAAGGGTTCTAGTCATGGAGTTAGGGGCTCCGCCCTCCCTCTCCACCCTGCTTTCCTCCAAGGTGTGTCACTCACATCCACAGACATCTCCCTCTGGATAAGTTTCTTGCTCTCCTTTTCACAGAAGTTGAGCATGGCTTCACGGTTGAATGAGCCAGAGGGCTGTTTGTCCGTTTGATTCCTCTGCCGAAGTCCCACGGGAATGCTCCCATCTGGGTCCACCACATCCAGCTCCTTCTCCAGCTCCTCCATCTCTTCAGGGGAGAGGGTGGACAGCAGACTGTCGATGTCGGGGTCTTCACTCACCTGCCGCCGGTACTTGGCTACCTTGGACATCTTGGCAAAGTGAGCAGCTGCTCCTACCAACTGTGGTGGGCTTGCTGGTGGTGAGCAGGGAAGGGACAGGGAGCCCTAGTCTGGTTAGAATGGAGTGGGCTTGAGTACAAAGCCCCAGCTAGGTAAGCACTGAGCTCCTTGGGCCCTGCTGTATGTACTACAGGTGCTGGGGGGGACACAGCAGCCTCCCTGCAGCCCAAGGCTAGTGGACCCTGCTTGGTCTAACCAGCAACCAATAAAACCTGACAGCTGCCCAGCCAGAAAGGAGAAGCCAATCCCCAAGCCAGGGGGCGGGCCTGCCTCACGGTCAGAGCTGTTTGAAACTTGAGGACATTCCAGGGAATCTTGGAGCGCTGCGTGACCAAATTTAGTACAGAGCAGTTTAGCCTTTTAAAGACAAGGGGGCCACGCAATGAGAAAAAGAGAGAAAAATGCAAAGGCTGGCAGAAGCCACCGGACACTGGAAGCCAGGGTAGCAGGGACCGGGCTGTGAGGTTCACTAACTCACCAGCCTGAAGCAAGCTCTGTTTTAGAACGCATTTTCTGTCACTGGGTGGCCACAGCCACCTTTCTACTGTATTTGGTAATGTTTAGGGGCGGGCGCGGGACTCCCCGGAGTTTACAATCCCAGAAAGACACAAATTCAAGATGAGGGGCAGCTCTCATAACCGACACCCACCCATACCATTCATGACACCTGGCAGCAGAGCATCGGTTGCCCTAATGCACGCTCACCACCTCTCAAGAGAATAAGAGGATGGGCGACTGGGTGTGGGTGGAGGTGGGGGTGGGGTGACATCCTCGCTATGCATACAAACTGAAAAAGTGAAGGTGTCTGAGGAAGAGTTGGGAACTGCAGGAAGGAGGAAAGTCTTAAAGGGCTCTAAGTCCCCAAGGCCCAAGGATCTTGGGAAGAGGATTGTAACCATCCTAGGTTCCCTCCTCTGCAGGGACATTTGTAGACAACCTTCTCTGGGTACACAGAGGAGTGGCCAGCAGGCACCAGCCCCATACAAATCTAGAGCACAATTTAGTGTGTCTTAAGGGAAATGCAGTTCTGGGCCTCTGGGAGATACTGTTGCAACAGGTCTGGCTTCTTTCATAGAAGGGCTTTCCACTGCTCATCCATCATACTGCCTGTGAAGGCTCAGAGACATTCAATCTCCTGCCCCCCTCCTTCCTGCCACAAAATCCCTTCTAGAAGCTCTGGTGTAACCCATCAGGGTAGATGCTTCGATCTTTCCTGGCATCTCTCCATCCTAAGCCAGAGAGAGCCAGTCACTTGATCAGCATTTGCTGAGTCCAAAGATCATCTAGGACTAAGTTTTAGCCATGGCATTTAATGCCCGCTAGCTCAGCTTTAGTTTAAGGCCGAGAGAGGGGCTGGTGCTGTCTGGTGGGACTGGAAGGCAGAAACAAGGCAGGCAAACCCCAAAGGGTGAGTGGGGGAGGGGCTGGAGAACCCTGGCAGTTGTATTCCTGTCATATGCCCATCAGTTAATAGCACTTGTCACACTCTGCCGAGAGAGCAGGTGATGTAACTAAAGATACCGTCTAGTGTGAACCTGTTGTGGGGCCCACAGTCAGTAACAATAACTGTCATGTCCGATGAGGAAATGTCCCTCACAGCCATGCATATTCCACGCTTGGTCCCTAGCTAGTAGCCCTATTTGGAATGTTCTATAAACTTCAGGATGTGGGGCCTAGCTGGAGGAAGTGAATCGACAGGGGTAAGATTTGGAAAGTTCTACCTGGTTGCAGGTCCCTTGCCCTCTCTCTGCTTCCTGGTAGTCATGAAGGGAGCAGCTCCTGACAGGCGCTCCCACTGCCACCACACTCGGCCTCACCGCAAGCTCCAAAGCAAAGAAGCCAGGAAGTGTGGTCTGGAATCCCTGGAACTGTGAACCAACATAAATGCCTCCTCCCTTTGAGTCTGTGTATCACGTGATATAAAAGCAGAACAACATGGCTGCTATACAACAGATGACTTCAAATAATCCATTGGCAAAATACTTCAAAATGGAAACCTATAGAAGCTGGGTGTGGTGGCGCACACCTTTAATCCCAGCACTTGGGAGGCAGAGGCAGGCGGATTTCTGAGTTCAAAGCCAGCCTAGTCTACAGAGTGAGTTCCAGGACAGCCAGAGCTACATAGAGAAACCCTGTCTTGAAAAAACAAAACAAAAAAACCAACAAAACAAAACAAAAAACCCCAAAAAACAAAACAACAGCAGCAGCACTTGCCTGTGTTGCCTACTCTTCTGTTCTCTCCAGCAGCAACTGAAATAAAAGCATTCATAGTCCCTCTTACCTGATTCTCATTCATTCATTCACTCATTCATTCTTTCAAACATTCCTTTTCAGTACTTTGTTGGGCATTATGTAAAGAGAGATAAAAAGACATGTATAACATTGTTCTTCTCTTGAAAAATCTATCATTTAATGGTGTTTGTGAAATTCTACTGTAAGGAAAACTAAAGAGGCAAATGGACTGTTAGAAGACAGCCGAAGACACACTAAGTGTGTAGGGAGGGGGCAGTGGGTTCCCTCCAGGGTACAACAAAGACTCAGATGGGCTGGAGTCTGTGTTTAGCTAAACTTGTTGGTAGACATGCTGTTCCTTGCTCTTTGCTCCCACTAAGCACCTCTCCACCTCCCTCCGTCTCTCCCTCCCTCCCTTCCTTCCCTTCCCCTTCTCTCTCTCCCTCCTGTTTTTTCCTCTCTTTATTTGAGACCAGGTCTCACCATACAGCCTTGGAACTGGAGCTTGCTGTGTGGACATGGATGGCCTGGAGCTCACAGAGAGCTCCTATCCGCCAAGTGCTGAGATTAAAGGTGTGCAGCCAGGCCAGCCCTGCCACCGAGACTCTTGTCCCCTACATCCCCTCAGGTCAGTTTTCTTTTTAACTGTTGCCTAGAAAGTAACTTCTGGGACATCAGACTCTGAAGCTCCCCCCCTACCCCCAGCCATTCTCAACTGCCCCTCTATAATCGGAAAGAGCCCCCTTTCCAGCTTCCTAGGACTGTGACCAAAATGTTTGCTGTTCCCTGAAGAGGCCAGGCCTGATGCAATAACTTCCTTCAGCTCCAGGGTCAGCATTGGTGAATTGGTTTTAGTGACCATCACTTCTGAGTCCTGACTTTGTTCTAGGAGTACACTAAAGTACATATATTCATTCTAAATCTACAGTTGCCAGACCCAAATAACAGGACTTATGGCGTCTTGACTAAAGGTGGGTCGACATCCAAACCCTTGTAGCTTCTCTGCCTCCAATTCCACAGCTTCAAACGGACTCTTTGGATCTGAAATCTTTGGATCCATGAAAACTGCTCATGGGTTGAGAATCATTTCTCCTTCTCCTTCTTCTTTTTGGTTTTTCGAGACACGGTTTCTCTGTGTAGCCCTGGCTGTCCTGGAACTCACTCTGTAGACTAGGCTGGCTTTGAACTCAGAAATCCGCCTGCCTCTGCCTCCCAAGTGCTGGGATTAAAGGCGTGCACCACCACTGCTCGGCTGAGAATATCTTCTTGATAGATGCTCCAGCTGTGGCCACGTCCTCTGGAACCCATAGCCACAGAGTATGTAGCCTCCTTCAGTCTCTGTAGTCAAGGACCACTATAAGACACAAGCTCAGAATCTACTTCTAGTTAAAAGAAATTCATTCAGGGATCAGAGCATTCTGGCTTGGCTGAATCCTCAGAAGGTGAGCATTGCTGGAGAAAGAGAGAGAGAGAGAGGAGAGAGAGAAGGGCTTCATCAAGCTCTGGTCAAAAATGTGGTGAGATCAAGGGACACTAGCTATTTAGAACCAATTTAACCAATACTTAAATGTCTTTTTAAAAATTAATTTTTTTATTGCAGACAATGATGAAAATATTATAATTATATATATTATCATCATCATTATAGCAATGATGAAAAAATTATGTATTTGTTGACCCTAGTAACAATAAGAATGAGTATCTAGGTGGTACTAAAGCATGTCTTTAATCCCAGCATTCTGGAGGCAGAGGCAGGCAGATCTCTGTGAGTTCAAGGCCAGCCTGGTCTACATTAGCAAGTTCCAGGAGGGCAAGGGTTGTTACATAAAGACACCCTGTCTCCAAAAAAGAAATTCTTTTTTAATTGAGAAAGATCTCACTATGCAGCCCTGGTCTGCCTGGAACTTGCTAGCCAGGCTGGCTTTAAACTCAGAAATCCATGTGAGTTTAAGGTTAGCCTGACCTACAGAGTGAGTTCAGAACAGCCAGGGCTACACAGAGAAACCCTGTCTTGAAAAACAAAATGACAAAAACAAAGGAAACTAATCACAACAACAAAAAAATCCAATACCAAAAATTACACAGGACTGGGAGATGGCTCAGTTGTTAAGAGCACTGGCTTTTCTTCCAGAAGACACAGGTTCAATTCCCAGCAATTACATGGAAGCTCATAACTGTCTGTAACTCCAGTTCCAGGAGATCCAACACCCTCACACAGGCAAAACTCCAATTCACATAAAATAAAAATAAATCATTAAAAAGAAATACAAACAATAAAAACCCCTCAGAGATCCACCTGCCTCTGCCTATTTAGTGCTTATATTAAGGATGTACACCACTAAGTGGCCCTTAAGTGGCTCTTGAAGAAGGTGGATGACCCCAAAACAGTCACCTTCTCATGAATACAGAGTAGCAGTGTAGTGTGGCAGGTAAGACTGTAGACTCTGGAGTCAAATGACACTGGGCTCAAATCTGAGATGTGTAACCTGTGTAACTTGTTTAACCTCTCTGAGCCTTTAGAAATGGAAAATGTAGGTGTAAAGAGTATTTACCTTTTTCCTTTAGGGGAAAAAACCGAAGCACGACCTCACAGTTGTGGAGTGAGGGTATGTTCCGTTGTTTGTTCATGTAATACTGAGAAGTGAATTCAGGGTTTTGTGTATGGGAGGCAAAGGCTTTACCACTGAGATGTACCGCCAGCCCCTTTCTCTTCCTCCTCCTCCTCTCCCTCCTCATCCTTTTCCTATTTATTCATTTTGTTTGTGTGTATGAGTACCTATTCAGGTGTTTGCACATGTGTGGACATCAGAACTTGCAGGATTCAGTTCTTTCCTTCCACCTTGTGGGTTCTGGGCCGGAAGAGCCTTTCCTCTCTGAGCCATCTTCCTGACCCTTTTTTCGTTGTCTGCATGAGTTCACCTGCACCAT